GGGCCTTACGACTTCCCAGTGTTCATCATATAAAACTATAAACCAGTCAGTCAGCGCAGTTTGACCAAATTTCCTTAAACTTAGACTGAAGTAGTTTTGGGTGGACCCCTTTAAACTGGCAAAGTTTCACTGAAATCGGTGAGATGGCTTGTGCCACCCCCACCTGGTCCTATCGTGGATGCACTCTTAATATTTAGTCATTTTTTGTTTGCAGAATTGTGCAGACTCCAGTAAAGTTTGTTATGTTGGCATGTTCCAGGATGCTCAACCGACTCCAAAGACTAAAACTGGCTATGGACACTCAGGTTGCCTGACACACACACACACACACACACACACACACACACACAGTAAAAATAATAAAGGATAAAAGTTTCTGACGCCACCTGTGTCAAACTCCACCGTCCTCCCAAAAAACAATAGCAAATACAAGTATGGACAGTCTGTGAGGGTTCAGTCTGGTAGCCATCCAAAAATGCAACACAGGGTTAGGTGAGAAGAAAAGAGGAATTTATTCAAGGCTGTGGGGAAGCAGGGGACACCGGGAAGCACGTGAGGGACGCCAAGTGAGGGAGGGAATTCCAGGGAAGGTTTCCAAGAGGGACCAGGAGGCAGAACGGCTGAGGCTGGGGATCAGCTGCCGAAGTCGGGCCAGGGAGGTGACGATCTGACGGGGAGGTTCTGGCAACAGACGCAGACGAAAGCAGATGTAAGACAAAACGAGTTTCTCAAAGCACAAAGTTTCTCAAAGCACAAGGTTTCTCAGCAAACGGGCTGGCCTATTGCCACTCGAGGGAGGGTCATCCACTGGCGCTGGAGCACAGGTGGAGGCAGGCTTTATCCAGCGCTGAAAACCCCACCCAGCCTGAGAACACACTTGCAGCCACCAGAAACAACAAGCACATACACTAAACAAAGTCTCACACTAAAAGCAGAAAAACTCGGATCACCACACAGTCCCTCTCTTTTTATCTCACAAAAATGCTGTAGTTGTTCAAAGAGAAATTCGACCACTGTGTGGGCCACAACCTAAGAAACGTGACCAACAAGAATGACTGTCTGGCAGCCAACTCCAGCTGGGTGCGGAAGCAGTACAACTTTGACAACCTCCTTCAGGTATGGGCCAACACACCAGTCTTATACTAATTTTCTGTAGTAAGAGAAGGGAAAAGAATGTAGGATTATCAGTCCAAAATACTATAAATAGGAACCTCATCTTTGAAAATCACAATTATTTCTTTGTTTGTTTCCCTCTCAGGCTTTGATTTCCGTGTTTGTGATGTACACCAGGGATGGCTGGGTGAACATCATGCGTGATGGACTGGATGCTGTGGGAATAGACCAACAGGTATTTTTGCTGTTTTATTGCTGCCTGTTGTAGGTTTTTATCCTGTTGTTCATTGTGATGGGTTACATAGCTCAATCCACAAATTAGTTTTCTGAAGGTACAGAAGTGAAATGAAAACTTTTGGTGGCCTGGTCCATCTGAAAAAGTAAAAAAATATATGACATAAATATGATCTGTAGTGCTGCAGGGTGGCGCAGTTGGTAGCACTGTTGCCTCGCAGCAAGAAGGTTGCCGGTTCGCGTCCTGGTGGGG